TGTCAGGGTATTATGCATCTGTAGTCTGAGTGTACGCTACATTACAGTTGAGTTCTCTGTATACACCTAAATCTACGTCATTTCTGTATCCCAGTGTTACTACCATTTATGATTGTGCTAGGAAGAAAGTGTCGTGTTAACAAAATGGCACCGAGTTAAAATTCTTATATATTGACACCGAAACGTTAAATTTGCAAATTTGATAACAAAATGTTGAATATGGTTTGCTTGTATAACTAAGCAAGATATATTGTTTAACCCAGTTTAAATTATCCTTTTTGAATGACTGCAATGTGTGTGTGTGTGTGTGTGATTTTGGATTTTTAACGTAGCTTTAACAATTTTTTAGTCGTATAGCTGCGATGTCTGCAGTGTTATCTATCACGGGAGCTTCATGCCGCAGACGTGTAGCATGAGGTCTCACCCAGTCACATTTTCCTGACACTAACCTCTTAATGCAGAGCGCCAAGCGAGGCAGCTGTAAGAAACCATTTTTAAAGTCTTTGGCATGACTCAACCGGGGACTGAACCCAAGACCTCCCCATCTGAGGAGGACGCTCTAACCACTAGGCTACCGTAGCGGTCAGGGACCGTGATTTGAATGCGAAATATTTAATCGTTGTTTATTGTTTACATTACTTCGTGTAAACTGATTGCACCACACTCATGCAACGTTTTTGTATTTATTTTTTTTGGACAGTTTTGAAGTTTCATCGCAAGAGACCGTTACCCGAAGCGATATAAACAACGGACTCAAAAGTAAATCTAGAAAAAGGAAAGGTAAATAAATTGTTAAGGAGGGTTTTAAGCTATTGTAGTCAGATTAATCGTCATATTAAGAATAGAATCGCTGCCAGGAAATAAAAAAAGCAAAATCAAAATTATATATAATCATTTAATTAATGACTATTCAGTCTCTTGTCTGCAAGGTTAAAATTTTCGCGCTCAGCTTTTAGCCTCAAGCTAATATATACCTCTCTCTCTCTCTCTCTCTCTCTCTCTCTCTCTCTCTCTCTCTCTCTCTCTCTCTCTCTCTCTCTCTCTCTCTCTCACACACACACACACACACACAAGCAGAATATTGTACTTGCTCTTATGGTAACCATGTGGGAGAGGACTACATTTGCCCTCCCCCCCCGTTCTAGGCTTTCCTCGGAGATGGAAGTCAAAAGGTCATTTAAGGTAATATTTCAATTCAAATTTTAGAAATAGCGTTCTTGGCAAAATCGTAAATGCAGTTATATCTGGACAACAACTTATGTGGCAGATTTGTTTTCTGCTCGAAACTCTCTGGGACATATTCAAGTATGAATACATACGACGTTAAACAAATGTAGGTCGTAATGATCTATTCATAATCAAGAAGCAATATTTGTGTTTTGTTTTGTTTTTGTTTTTGTAAGAAAGAAAAGGAACTCTCCTTGCAATCCAAACGTAATATTTTACAGAATCAACCCGCTAATTTGAAAGAAGATGTGTGCTGCAATGAAGGAATAGTGCACATTTAGCACAGATACGACATGGTCATATTAAATTATGGAGAGCAAATATAACCATTTACAGAACTAAAAATGAAAGGATCGTACAAAATAAAAACATGGAATTAATATATACAAAACAGTCAATATTACGCACAAAAGTGTTGTTCATGCACTACATCATGAGAGAGTATGGACTAGCCTTATAATTACTTATACGGGTGAATTGTAGGTTTATTTGATGTCAGCTTGACTTATCCCAAGATTTGTTTCAATTACCATAATGATTTTTTTGGAAAAAATTAAATTAATCATGCTGATATTTAGTTGTACCTGGATGAAATGGTGCTGCACATAATAAAAATCACCGTTACCATCAAAAAAGATTTTTTTCTTATCATTACTTCTCCTGAAAATAAAGGTCATATCAGTCTGGGGATTTTCATTGATTGGCTTGTGTTGATGTTCCAAAAATAGAATGTTGTACCAATATAGTGTGATTACTAATGCTAAGGTCACATCAGATTGTGGCAAACCTGTTACTCTGTATTAGTGCTTAGGCTTGCAGTGACTTGCAATGTGACCCCCCCCCCGACTTAAGAAAGCATATGGGGTAGCATAGTATTCTAACCATGCATAGCCCAGAAATCCCATGCTGCACGTGTACACTGCGCTCTGACCGATTATGTTGTTATTAGAAACTACCCGAACAGATTCTGAAGAAACCATGTTATTTTGAATGACTGAGATATTCTTTATGCAGTGAGCGGCCCTCATGACAAAACTATAATCGTCTGCTTTATGTAACAGTGTACCAATATATATTTGATCTTAAAGTACATGCTAAGCCGCAGGTTACATGAAAAGAAATATTAAGATGCTTGTTAAGGTCATGCAGAAAACTATGGAAGTTACTCGGACGGGTAGTTTTTTTGTGTTTACTCCTGCCTCATACCAGTCTTTGGTGTACTCAGTAAATTGTTAACATTACTACAAAGTAAATTTCAAGGAAACAAAACTGATGTGGAAGTATGTTTTAATTTTAGTAAGGCAAATGAAGCGAAATCTATAATATTGTACAATAATGACAATTTTCAATTTTTTGTTTGTATATATATATATATATATATATATATATATATATATATATATATATATATATATATATATATATATATATATATATATTAGTGTGTGTGTGTGTGTGTGTGTGAGAGAGAGAGAGAGAGAGAGAGAGAGAGAGAGAGAGAGAGAGAGAGAGAGAGAGAGAGAGGTGATGTGATGTGATGTGATGTGATTATGATTTTTAGCGTAGCTTTAACAATTTTTCAGTCATATCGCTAAGATGTCTGCAGTGTGGCAGTTCATAGTGATGTCTAGCACTGGGGCATCATGCCGCAGACATGAAGCATAATGTCCCACCCAGTCACATTATCCTGACACCAGGCCGACCAGTCCTAACACTAACCTCTTAATGTTGAGCATCAAGCGAGGCAGCTGTTAGTACCATTTTTGTACGTCCTTGGTATGACTCGACTGGGTATCGAACACACGACCTCCGCATCCGAGGCGGACGCTCTAACCACTAGGCCACCGGAGCGGTTGTGTGTGTGTGTGTGTGTGTGTGTGAGAGAGAGAGAGAGAGAGAGAGAGAGAGAGAGAGAGAGAGAGAGAGAGAGAGAGAGAGAGAGAGAGAGAGAGAGAGAGAGAGAGAGAGAGAGAGAGCGTTGTGTTGGAAGAATTGAACAAGCACACTTTTATTTTACTGATCAACTCTGCGTCATTTCAGGAAAGAAAAGGAAAGGAAAGCCTCGATTTCCTAAGGAGAAAAAGAAGTCGAAATTGGAGCAAGACAAAAAACGTTTGGAATCTGAAATCGATAAAGTGAAGCAAGAGTTAAAATCTACAACTCACGATTCTATCAGTATCCAAGACAAAATCAAGGATAACAAGAAAAGATGTAAAGGAAAAATGTCCAAAAGTGACAGACTTCAGAATCGGATTTTTAACTTGCACGAAAAGAAACTTCAGATAGAACTTATGTTGGTTAAGTTGAAAAGGAATCTGTTATGTTCAAATTATAAGAAAATAGGATACAATTCTACTTTAATTGATCATCCTCAAGAAACGTAACATCTCCAATGTTTTACATAAACATGAACTTGGTCTCATCTTTTACAGACAGAAATGGCTGATAAGAAGGAAAATTAGAAACAACACATCGTCTGTTAATGGTGTAAATAACAAGTCAGAAGATTAATGTCGACACTAAACAGCCACTTTACAAGAAACAAATGCAATTATTATGTGCCTAGAAATAGATTTGAATTTATTTATGAATATTCGTCCTGCCTATATGTCGTAACAAATTTATCATTTATTAAAAAGTGCAAAGATTGCTTTACTGTTGTAGTGGGTCATTTTTAACATAATTATAACAAAAGAAATCAAGGTATATAGGATTTTTTTATTATTATTACACAGAATTATAAATAAATAGTCGTGACGGTATATGGGCTGGTGCGTGCAGGCAAGGCGATGGGTGCTATTTACTCGCGGACTTGGGTTTGAAACTCCGTAGAGTACGAATTTAATTTATCTAACCTGTATGGTAGTATTGTTTGTATTAAACATTTAATTATTCCCACTATTATCAAGATTCCTCTACAGAATCCAGGGATAGCACTGTCTGTTCGGTCTGGTATATATTTATAATTCTTTGTAATAAAACAAAATCCTATATACCTTGATTTCTTTAATAGAAATCTGAAATCTGGAACGACTGTGTGTGTGTGTGTGTGAGAGAGAGAGAGAGAGAGAGAGAGAGAGAGAGAGAGAGAGAGAGAGAGAGAGAGAGAGAGAGAGAGAGAGAGAGAGAGAGAGAGAGAGAGAGAGAGAGAGAGAGAGAAAATTATTAAGAGGTCAGTGTTAGGACTGGTTAAGCTGGTGTCAGGATAATGTGACTGGGTGGGGCATCATGCTATGTCTGCAGCATGATGCCCCAGTGCTAGACATCACTAAAAACTGCCACACTGCAGACATCGTAGCGATATGACTGAAAAATTGTTAAAAGCTATGTTAAAAAAAAATTAATTATAACCACTTTACTAGGTCCTCATGCGAGGGTGTCTGCTACGCACGAGCTCATATAACACCGACTCAGTGCCATCATTTATTGATGATGCGTGCTTAGTCGTGACGGTATATGGGCTGGTGCGTGCAGGCAATTCGATGGGTGCCATTTACTCGCGGACCTTGGTTCGAAACTCCGTTCGAAACACACACACACACACTTATATATATATATATATATATATATATATATATATATATATATATATATATATATATATATATATATATATATATATATATATATATATAAGTGTGTGTGTGTGTCATGTAGCATCATGTCCTACCCATTCACATTATCTGACACCAATCTGACCAGTCCTAACACTAACCTCTTAATGCTGAGCGCCAAGCTTGGCAGCTACTAGTACCGTTTTTATGTCTTTGGCATGACTCAGTCGGGGTTTAAATCCGCGACCAACCGCATCCGAGGCCGACGCTCTAACCAGTAGGCCACAGGAACGGTTAGTCTATTCTACAACTGAAAAGTGAGGTAGGATATCCTCTTCCAGCGCCAACAAAAGGAGTGGGGTGGGGCGCGCTTTCAATTGATCTCTCAGTAAGATGTTTGAGAATTAACACTAATCCAGCAGTCTCGCGTATTTGATCAGACATGTAACTAGGGTAGTGTTTACAAAGGGCAAGTCTTTAATATTGCCACCAATTTACATTTAAAGCAGGGTCATAACGTAGTACTCTTATCCTGTTCTAAGCGAGTTTTCCACTGTGATATGTTAGTGTACCTACTGTTGAAAGTGCCTCTCCCAAAAGGCACACGGACATTAGTGTCCAGGATAGGTCCGGCATCTTGGATTATATGTCTGACACTGAACCAACATGACTCCCGCAAAATGATAACACATGAGAAAAATATCAAAACCACTAAATAATCGTGATGTGATGTTATTATGATTTTTAACGTAGCTTTAATAATTTTTCAGTCATATCGCTACGATGTCTGCAGTGTAGCAGTTTATAGTGATGTCTAGCACTGGGGCATCTTGCCGCAGACATGTAGAATGATGTCCCATCAAGTCACATTATCCTGACACTAGTCCTAACACTAACCTCTGAATTCTAAGCGCCAAGCTGTTAGTACCATTTTTGTAGGTCTTTGGTATGACTCGACTGGGGATCGAACCCACGATCTCCCGCATCCGAGGCGGACGCTCTAACCACTAGGCCACCGGAGCGGTTCTCAATAATCATAAACAGCTGTCATGAATGATAAAGTACAACTGATTTCATTTTCCTTCTGTTGGGCGTGAAAGATATTCTTGTCACAGACAAAGCACACACACGAAGAAAGTAACCGCTTGATCGAAAGAGAGGAAGAGAAAAATTAAATGTTACATAAAAATAGTATATGTAAAAGAATTCAAAAGTGATCATTCAATTATCTGATTTTATTAGTAAATAGTATCAATTAGTAATATCCAAGGTCAACAACAGCATTTATATATAATCAACCAGAGCTCAAAATAAAATCTGTCAACTGATTGTTCAACATTCGTTCAGGCAGGAACACTTGTAGTCAATATCACATATTATTCCCAATCATATCCCCCCTCCATCATATAACCTTGTAAAGTTTATAGATATAGTTCTACACTGGATCTGTTATTCATGTTCTGAAGTCATTACGTTGGAATTACCAATTTGATTAATATTGGACACCTATTATTTTCATTATTTTCTTGAGAGTAATGTGGAGGTCAGCTTTATGCCACTAAGTTGTACATGTGCCACTGTTATAACTCTGAGGATCATTTATTTAAATTGCAGGGGTTGACAATTTGTTATTGCACTAAGTTTGCTAGAGTCAGCTTTTGCTGTGCATTTGTAAAAGGTCATAGGTATCAACCTTCACTCAAATATGTGCAGGGAAGGGATTATTTCACTTTTTCTTTCATATATATGTTTTTAAATCATGAAATGATTTGCTGGGAACCGCTATTTACTCACAGAATGGCTTACACCCAATCTTCGCTGATGTAGGAATCTTGTCCCTGATTACTGTCCAGAAAAGAGGTTACATTCCACTGTTTACAGAAGTCACAAACCATCTCACACATTTTGCATATATAATTAAGAATAAGATGTCATAAGTATCAATGGTCTCAATAAAAAACAATTATTTATCAAGTCTAAAATCTTGTTTCCTATGGCATAGTAGTAAACCGAGTGTCTGATTTTAGCTTTTTATAATCCATCAAAAAGCCAGTCTTGTCAGACGCAGCAGGTATATACTAGTAAGACATGTTCCAAATACCTGCAAACTTGAGCAGAATGAACATTTATGCTTGTACTGAGTTTTATAGATAAATACGGAAAATAATACTTGCATACACATGATTTTTTGCTAGAATCCTCAAAAATTTGTCTGTCAAAACCCCTATGATGTCCATGAACCAGATTTAGATGACTTAGTTCACATCATTTTCAATGCAACTTGGTTGGGAGTGACAGCTGTCAATACTTTCCAAGTGGACAAAGGAAATAGGATGGATTTCTTACCTTTAATAGTATTTATGAATATTCCAAAATCCTATTCAAATATATTCAATGAATAGTTGTTTAGGAAAATTTTGTATTCGTTTCAGCTCTACACATATGATGTCAAGAATGCTGATATAGAAAACTGCTTTATGAATTGTGTACCTTATAATGGGATATATGACCACAACCATGTTATATCAAGTACAATACTATACTCTTGCACTTTATAATGAGATACATCAACATGCTGTTTTATATCAGCTACCATGTTATATTTGGTTGTTTTATAATGGGATCCATGACAATATCTGTGTTGTATCATGTACCGTGTTATACTGAGTTGTTTTATAATGGGATTGTTGACCTTGCCTGTGCTGTATCAGGTACCAGGTTATATTGAGCTGTTTTATAATGAGATTCATTGCCATGCCTGTGTTGTACCAGGTACCATGTTATATTGAGCTGTTTTATAATGGGATTGTTGACCTTAACCCATGTTATATTAGATACCATGTTATATTCAGGTTTTTAAAAATGGGCTTTATTACTATAACCAGGGAAGGAAGTAACAATATCCTCTAACACTGGGGTTAACATATATAAACTTTAACACACTTGGCTTATGCAGTGAATTGCATACTATTGTGAATTATGTGATTCTTTCTTGGCTTCAAAACATTTTGGAGCTTACCAATTTTTCATACAGATATCTTCTGTAAATGTATTTTATATGACCTCTGATATGATTTACAATAATTTCAGGGGTGGTAACTGTGATTTACAATGATTTCAGGGGTGGTAACTATGATTTACAATGATTTCAGTAGTGGTAACTATGAAAGTAAAAGATGTCATGAAAAATTTTATGTAAATCTATCAAAATATACACAAATCTGTATTTAACAAAATTCACCATCCTCTTCAAACATAGTACATCATCATTATTTAGGATTTCCATTACAATATAATAATGAAGAATAATAAATGCAGAAATATATTTATGTATTTTTTGATGTGACATAAATGTAAGAAGCTGACAAATCATATTTTAATGAAAATATTTTCTATCTACATTACTCCCTCATTAAAATTCCATCTATGGAAGCCATGTAGTATAGCACCTCATATTGAGATTGTGTTATAATGGTAACTATTTAGTATTCCACCATATAACGAGACTTGCTTTAAATGAAGCACACAGTATAATATACCATTGTTTATGGTAACCATAGAATATACTTCATTCTGTAATGATGTATTTGAAACATTACAATGCTGTTTATGGCAGCTAAAGATTATACCATCTTATAGTGTGAGTGCTTTAAAATGAAGTACATTATACATTAGAATGCTATTTTTGGCAGCTATATAGTACACCACGTTACAGTGAAACTGTCTTATAATGAAATACATGATAAATTATAACACTTTATGGCAGCTAGAGTAAACTGCCTTATAATGAAATGGCATCCATGACCATAAGTGCCTTATAACAGGAACCATGTCAATGAATGCATTATAATGAGGGAGTGCTGTATTGGACACACACACAGACACTATTGCTTTCTGGATGCCAGTTACATGTATCCAATGAAATAGATGAATACAAGTAATTTTACATAAATCCAAAATCTGACCTTTTTGTGCAATTAAAATGTGATGAAATATTGGCATTGGAGGGGGGATTTCTGCTTTTTAAAACATGACAAAATATTAAAGTTCATGCAACTCTTTAGTCAAAGAAAGTTTCAAAACTTGCCATGTAGTTGTACAAATAAAATTAAAATTTCATCATGGCTGACTCGGAAGATAAAAAACATACATTTAAAGGGATAGTTATGCAAATTTGTAACTACAAAATTAATACAGTCAATGTCATGGTGCAAAAATAATGAAACCATTGTATGTCAAAGTCAATACAGCTAAAGTCATGGTGCAAAAATAATGAAACCATTGTATGTCAAAGTCAATACAGCTAAAGTCATGGTGCAAAAATAATGAAACCGCTGTATGTCAAATACAAGCAGCATTTGATCAAAGTACATTGCTATCACAAGCTGAAGTCTGTGATGAAAGAAAGAAAATTGCACTTGAAAAACTGCTTTCCATTTATTAGCACTTATTCTACAAAAATGCAATAATTACTGCTTCCAACAATTTTACTTATTAGCAACGATGTGCTCATGTGATGTGCTCATGTGCATTTTTAATACGAACTTTGTGAAAAATTGAGAACAAATTCCAAGTCTTACATGCAAATGACAATGATAATAAACCGTAATTGCAATAAGGCAAAAAAAAAAAATCTTTTCTTTTATGACAAATCTCATTTTCGCAAAAACTATATAGAGGTTGCAAAATGTTTGGAACAAGTGGCAGACAAAAATTACTACAACTGATGAAATATCGCTTGTTTACAATTCCCCCCTTCCACCAACATATTTTCCATTTTCTTAACAAGACATTTTGAGACACAACTTTCCATTAGTTTATGCTCCTAATGAACCACATAAGTTGGATATACCTGCAAACTTCATCCACCTATCTCTTGATGCACCAATAGATCTGGTTATATGCAATCAGTCTGGTTCTATGCAATCAGTCTGGTTCTATGCAATCAGCCTGGATCCAAACAAAAAACAACACATACTGATCTGCAGGTGCATCATAGGAAGTAGGAAATAACTGTACAGTCTCCATGGAACTTGTACCTTGTTGATGACATGCTCAAAGGACAACATGACCACTTACTTACTTCTTAAGAAATGTAATCCTAACTAAACTGACTTTGTTGCATCCTGTTAGAGATGTAGTAGAAAACAATATTACTACAATGTCAGATTTTCTTATCACTAAAAAGGGAATTAAATATGGCTAACATTCACCTATTTCAATTAAAAATCATGCTGAAATGTGGTAAATTCCTAATTATGGTCTAATTTTTGTAGCCTATTTTTGAATCAAATGATGTT